TTACTCTAACATTATCTTTTCTTCCCACTGACTCTATAGTAAATGGACGCTTTGCAGACATGGCTTAATTTCTAAACTTAGAAGTACCAAAGCTCTATAGAAGGACATTCTAAAAGAGGGAAAAATAAATAAATAACTTAATAGTAAAAAAATCAAATTAATTAAAATGCAATAAAATGTAAAGAGCTAAATAAAAATTGTAGTAAAAGTAGAAGAATGCAAAAGTTAAAATTAGGCAAACCTTAGTTTGGCAAATTAGCAGCCTTATTTGGCATATATTTCGAACAAAACTCTATCGATTTCAAAGACACAGGTCCCTGTTCTTCAAGGGTATGAAGAATTCTGCTGCTTAATCCAAAATAAATTTGTTGTTCCGTCAAAATCTGAGATAAATAAAGATTTCATTAAATGTCATAAAGATGCCGGCATCTTTATAAAAGTCAGCGATAATTCCTGAAGATAAAGACATTTAAATGGGATCTCGTCAGCTTGATAAAGGTTGCCTTTTTTATAATATAATACAAACTAACTTCATAAAGATGCCAACACATTTGTGCCTTTAAGCCGGGGTCTCTTTACGTCTTGGAGAAAAACAGCCAATTTACTAAAAAGTGCCGGCACATTTATGCAAGTTATCCGCGGCAGTTAGATCAGTCCCACCGGCCCCTGGTGGTAACGTCTGCCACTAATGCCTGACACCTTCAGATCTAAAAACAAGAGAATACTTACACGTGTTCAAACAAACATAACATAAACTTTATAATTTTACATAGCAAAGTACCTGATCAAGTCATTTTTTAGAGTGCTTTGCTATTAACCTTTAAAGAGTGTAACCATTATTTTGTGGCACTCTGTCTATATTAACAGTAATCTAGACTTTCGCAAAAAAGGAAAAAATGAAAGTGTTCCAGTAAAAAAGGAAGAAAGAAAAGTGTTCCAGTTACGCTTTATAATTCTTCGATTTAAACAATACTTTTTTTAAAACAAACTAATAAGAATTTTTTAAAAAAAAAGTACATCGAAATTTCCTTATTAATATCAGATAAATTGTCACGATTATCTCAGTGAAAAATTGCGTATGCGATAATTGGATCTTAGATTTTTTCTATCGTTGTCATAAAAGAAATGCTGTTATAGTATGAAGCACTATAGTATTTTATTTTACTAAATTTTCAGCATCAAATACGCATAAGGAAGAAACTGCTAAAATTTAGAGTTAGCGTTAAGTTACCTAAGAAAGTATTCTTTTTTTTTTTTTTTTTTTTCTTTTCAAGATTTAGTGGGGGAATTCGTTTTAAAAAATGTATCAAAAACTGTACCAAAAAGTAATCGGAAGAATACTGATGACATAAGAGTTCTAGAGCAATCAATAAAAGATGACGTCTTAAGCTGGCAGAAGATGACATTGACTTATCAAGGAACATGCCGAGTGTTTGATGGATGGATTCAAAAGTAACCTTTTTATTACTTTCTTTTCAAAAATGGTTATGAGTTGAAAAACTTAGCCATATTTTCTCTTTGTTTGAGTCATGTAATGAAAATAAGAATCAGTGTTTTCTTTGTTTGTCGTAAAGCCTTGCAATCGATTTTTAGCATGAATTACTTAAAATAAGGAGAAACTGGTGAAGTATTTACTATATGAAGAACTTTATTAGTTTTCAAGAATTTGTAAACATTTTAATACGTAAGTAGAAAAAATAACACAAAGTGTTTGCTTTCTTAAGTCAGTTGTCTATCATATATTATACTCATGTTAGGATGGCTTTTTTTTTCCCCGTCTAAGCTACAACACGGATGGCTTAAGTTAAGCCGGAGCCTGGCTCCGGCATTTCTTAGTTTCTCAGTAAAATTATAATTCTAGACTGAGTTCTACATTAGATAAACTCCGGCATTTTAATTTATCCCCATTTTACCATTTGTCGTTAATTAATTTTATTTTTTATTTATCTCTTCACTTTTATCTAGTTGTAACTATTAACTTTTTAAAAATTTATTTTCGTTCTTCTTTCCCGCCGACTTTTCACAAGGATCTGGTATTTCTAACTTTAGAAACTAGGCTCTGACTATAGGTTATAAAACATAATCTCTATTAAATTATAAAAGCATATATTTGAAGAGATGTGTGTCAAAATATGGAAAAAATTTAGAGAAGCTTCGGAAATAAACTATCAGCATGGTAATGCAGGTAAAAACTAACATCATAAGTGTGACATACTATGCTGAATGCAGAATTAGTTCCACTTCTTAATAGCAGAATAATTTAGCAAATTAATATATAATCAGCAGAAGTTGTTCTATTTATGACGAATTTGAGGAAACAGTTTCACAGAAATAACGAAATTATTTAGTAATAAACTGTTCGAAAACATAACACTATATAAAATTCAAAATTATCAATTAAGATATACCGATTTATTAGGTTCAACTACAGTTAATCAGAACGGTGCAACACCTCAGATTTTAAACACTTAAAATTAAAACTATAAGGTGTATTTAAGGTATTTAGCTTGACATGTTTATATAGACTATAGTCATCATAAAAACAGTTAACTATGATTAGGCACTTTATTTGATTGCTATAACGCAAAAAGAAAATGTTTCACTTTGGCTATAATTTAATTACTACGCAATTTGAAAAGTTGCCGGAAAATGCGCTTCATCTTTACTTCATAGTTGCCAATCACAGACAATTTTTTAAAATTTATATAGATGTTTCTGAGGAAATTGTGAAGAGAAACCACAAATTTTATTCAGAAATTTGCTCAAAAATAAAGCGGAAAAATCCTTATTCTGGATTTCAGGGATTGTGAATCCATAAACGCATTCAAGGAGGACCATTCTTGACTCTAATTTCTGAAGATAGTTTAACTGAAACTTTCACCCAGAGCTGCGACTTAGTTTATGGATGCTCACACGAAAGTTACTACGAGGATAGTGCCTTTGTCTGTGCCCTATTAATAAGATAATTAAAAGAGGAAAATTCACACTGAAAAGTCTCCATCGTCTATAAATCTCGTCATTTCGTTAATTTTAAATTCAATTTGGATCATGCATTCCTTGTTAGACTTTCACTTACCCATGAATGTTAGAGTACCACATTTGAATAAGCACTGTTACAGAACTTTTATAACCCCATTTGCAGAGATCGTTAGGATTTTCGATGTCTGAGAAATCAAATGTAAACTTTTGGGGATTCGAACCACGGATCTTTCAGTTGCTAAGCATTTGCACCTCGCCCACCAGCGGCTCAGCGGTAAAAGCCGCTGAATACTGGTAGTTCGGTCCGGAGTTCGAATCCCGGCGAACGGGCTGGCTGAACGGACGTTTTCGTGGTTTTCCCCATGTGTAACGTCGATCCGAGCCAGTTTTCCTTAAAAAAACCTCCACGGGCATCCCTCCCTTTCTGTGCAGTGCCTAAGGGCGGAGCACGTAATAAGTAAACAAAACAAAAAAAAAAAAAAAAATTCGCATAAGAGCGACTTCTCCTCTTAAAGAAAGACTTAGGAGAGAGGAGACACCCAGTTGACCAAATCCAGGTCAAGACGAATAATGAAGAAGACGTTTCATGTCAGGAACAACTATACACAATACTTAAACAGTGACGTAGCTAAAGTTTTTGCCGCTTGAGGCGATCTGTTTGTCTCTACCCTGAATGGGCGCAAAAAATATATATAAATGTCAAAATGATGCATAAGGAAATAAGTAAAAGATCGTGTTCATTTTTTTTAAATAACCAAAACTTCCAAAATGATATTTTACTCATTTTTCTATTAGCAAAATCGCTGATGGCATCCTACATAGATATGGCCTGTGTTTTACATCGGACACTAGCCATTTTTAGGCTTTCGCCATTACAAAGGCCGGAAGCGGCGGTCATTTTATTATGAGGACACCTAGTAGACAGCCAACGTTATCTCCTATGAAGGGACAGACAATTTACATCAATGCCTTCGCCGTGATTCGAACCCGTATCCTTTGGTATCGCAGTAGGCTTCCCTGACCGCTATAACGTATGGGCGGCACATCACGAAACATGTAAGGCGGAATGCTTGAATTTCTGATACTGTGACAATTTCTTATCGTTAATTTTGTATTACTTTTTTTTTTTTTTTTTTTTTCTTTCTTTCTTTTTAAATGTTCACAAGGAAGCTTATACAAAAATAATTCCTAGATAAAATCAGATATTAAAAATATGGTATATTTATTTCTAGAATTTAAATTTGGAGAATACTACATGCATGGTTCTTTCAGAATCGATTATATCTGCTATATACCTTGATATCTAGACTGAAAACGTGCTCTCAAAAGTAAGTGAATATGACTTTTATTAAGAAATTTTTTTAGACGCGACAGCTAATTTTGAATACTAAACTCGAATTAATTATTAGAACTCTCATATTTATTTAACAGAGATGAATTAATTGCTTTGAAGCATAGATGCGCATGTAAACTCTAAACGAAAGATTTAAACTGTATCTTTGCTTATTGCTTTTATTTATTTAATGAAGTTAAAAGATCATCTTCTAAAGAAGTATAACAATTTATTTAGTCATTTATTAAGTCAGCTTCGAAATGCTATTAGAAGCAGAAGGAAAATAATTTGTCATTTGTATAAAATATTCAAATTATTATAGCCTAAGAGAATAAGTGCCTAGTAAACTAAAAACAGGAAAATAATAATACATAACAAAAGCATGGATATCTATTTACACGCATGTCAATCAAATAAACCTTTTCGGAAATCCCTACTAATCACTTTATAAAATTCCGGATCAACAACAGGGTACGAAAAAGGAACTTAAACAGAAGCATAAACATGCGGATACGAATAAACGAAATAAAAACATCCGTTATTGTACCAAATTTCCTTTCAAATTCCGGAGACTATTCCGCCAAAGTGGAAATCGATCGTCAGCGATGACGCGCCAAAAGCAGGATGTGAAAAGGGGGGAGGGAAACAACGAGGGAAAAACTTTTAAAAGGTGGGCTCCAACCCCGAATCTGAACATTGTTAGATCACGATCCATGATGAACGCTGTGGTGGTGTTAGCTGTTCTCTTCCTGGGACCTGTTTTGGGCAGTGAAATCCATTTGAAGACCGTTCTTGCCGTTACTCGCTGCCGGGCGGCCTGCCTCGACAAGGTAAACAATTTCCCATCTTCTTCGACTAGCTTGACAGCTATTTCTCCTCAATCTGGAATTACTAAGTCAGATCACGTTTTGTTCGCATATATCTACAGAGAAAATGGGTAAAGTTTATATCCCATGTGTGACCATGAGACATAAGAGATGCGCTGTCGGTCTTAACAAAGAATTCTTCATCTAGCATCCTACATTTTATTCGAGCTTTCCCCCCTTTTTTTTTTTTTTTTCTTCTCCGCCCTTATTTGGCCAAATCTTTAAAGAAGACCGGCTCTTGGTCTAAGATTTTTAATTCGTAAATATCTGCGAAGAAAATCGGTTTGGTATCAGACTATTTGTTCCCTTATAGTTAGTTGTTTATTCTTGTTATACTCTTATTTTGTTTTTTAACTAACTTGCAATTACCCTGTTTTCTGACATAACATTAATTTTTAATTTAGCGCTTCAGATTTTAAAATGTGCTAATTTGTTCTCATCGCAATATGTCATCTTTAAACTCAATTAAATGTTTATGTAATATGACTACTTTACTCAGTTATCAAAGCATCAAAGCATTTATTATGTTACTCTCACTTGTATATTCCAAGCTAAACTTAAAAAAAAAAAAAAAAAAAAAAAAAAAAAAAACCTTTGTGTTATTGTGATATTCTAAATACCCAATCAGTCAAATGCAGAGACGCAGTAATTATTTTCTAGGATTCTTTTATTTAATTTCTTTTTACTCATAAACAATTCATTTTTACTGGAAAAAAAAAAATGACTTACTTGAAGTTGTTCTCGTGGATTTTGGATTATAATCTTTTATTTAGAGTCAATAATATGTTTAAGAAATGAACGCAAAATTCACGGTAGTCCTATCGTTTTCTATCCATTGTTCAGTATAAATTTTTAATAACAGAACCAAAAATCTATTGCTGTTACTTGTGACTCTAATTAGAAAAAGCAAAGATTTTGATTGCAAATGCATGATTTCTTTTACTGTTATTTATTTACTTATTTTGATAACTGAATAGTCAGAAAACTAACTGACAGGTTTATGGTACGTTTTAAGCTACACCCCCCATTTCATTCTGAAAGTTGTGTAGTACAGGAAATTGTCCACCAGAGCACCGATAAAATTTCCTTATTATAAGCATCCGTAATGAATCAAATATTTGGGGGAATTAAAGAAAATTAAGATCATGCGTCTTGCTTTTGATAGGTGAGGTCTTATTATATTCCTGCATTGTAATTAAGTTCAATTATAATAAACTCATTATTCAGGTAGCTAAATATTCTTTTATAAAACTCGAAAACGCTGATGATGGGGAAGGTTATTACGAGAGAAATAATTTACAAGGTGCGATTTCCTCAACGACAAATGGTGCACGTGTTCCCGCTTCTAGTTTAAAACGACCCTCCATTTAATTCCAATAATACCAAATTCCTATAATGTTTAAAATATGTAACATTTTATGCATTTATTTAATTCCAGGTTTTAAAAATATAAAATTATAACTAGTTTGTTTTAGCTTAGATATTTCCAATTATTTGTTCTTTGGTATTTAAAAAAATTTAGAATACTGTAGACTTTTAACTTTTTACAGAGATCTTAGGCTAGAATACGTTAATAAGAAATAGTCAGTATTATTATATTAACTAATGGAATATAACATAAAAAACTGTATAAGGTATTTTCTCCCTCCTTCCTGCATGCCTTCGTGGTGTAACAGTAGCACAATCGGCGCGAATTTTATGATATCGGTATTAAGCAAGCAATAAGCTTTTTTATTTCTAAATTATGAAATTTAGTTCCCTTACTGGTTGGTATACTTTAATTATATAAATTTCAAACCTAAAAATATATCATTTATTATAATTGTTAGTTACAGCATAAGGGTATTTTCTTCCTCCCTCCCGCATGCCTTCATGGTGTAACTGGAAGCATACTCGACTTGTATTCGACAGATCATAGAGTTCGAGTTCCGGGGATTAAATATTTTTTTTTTAGCTGAAATATTTCTATTAGAATATTCAGTTTATTGATGCATTTTTTATCAAGTTTATGAACTGTTAAGAAATAAAATGTAAACCTTTTTCATTAAAATTATAATTATTAAACAATCGTTTATAATGAGCAAAGAGTTCTAAAATTAACTTTTAAGATAATCAGGATATAAATATCGAAAAATATTTCTTTGAGAAAAAATAAAGTCCTCGCTAAAAATATGTAAGTATTTATTATTTTCGACACACTCTAAACCGAAACCATGTACAGAAAACTAAATGTACAGAAATGTACTTTTTGTTTAAATAATTCTAAATGAAAAATGGGAATTTAAAGGTCATTTTACGAAATACTTTATATGGAATGTACTTTACTTGAAATATAATTGGTGACATCTAATATGTTGAAAAAATTACGAGGGGGCAGGAAGACAACTCCGTAACGGATTTTGCCTCGATCCTTCAGTTTTTTGTGTGTTCGATTCATTTTACTTTAAGTTACAATCTGATTAAAATTTTAAGATAAACTTCATTTATAGCAGCTATTTTAGAATTCATTAAGAACTTTTTTTTAACATTTTTAAATCTAAGGACATAATATAAATAACGCAGTTTTTTCTATTGAAAATTTTTGTCAAAGAGAGAATTTTGTTACTTTCGTGATAGATTATTGTTATGATAACGAAAGCATTTTAATTCTGCTAAATTAAATTATTTAAAACATTTTAATTATGTTAAATTAATCCTTATATCTTATGTTTTTTAGTTACAATTTTATAAATTTTCTTTAACTGTCATTTTAAGTTGAGATCAATGACGTCGTTTGCAAATTTTTGTGTATTTTTTAATCTAAACATATTTAACGATATTTAGAAAATCTATGTCGCATTAAATCTAAAATTGATTTCAGAAAATTTGATATGCTAATACTGAGTTTTTAAATCAAGAATATATGGATTTATGTAGATTTCTTTCCCTTTTCTATTTGTTTGCTACAAAATGACAGAGAATTTCATAAGCATGAATAGGCCCATCAGCGGCCGAGCGGTAAAGTCGCTGAACACTGGTAGTTCGGTCCGAGGTTCGAATCCCGCGAACGGGCTGGCTGCATGGGCGTTTTCGTGGTTTTCCCCATGTGTAACGTGTATACGAGCCAGTTTCCCTAAGAAAGTCCTCCACGAAGGCATCCCTCCTCTTAGGTTAGGCAGATAGCCCTCGAGGCTTTGCCATAATCACACACACACATAAGCATGAATATATGAATTAATATAGTTTTTTCTTCAACAATTGCGTTTCATTTATTCATTATGAAAAGTTAGGAAATATACTTCCAAAGAGCAGGCACTGAATAACTTATGAAACAAATATTTTAGTATTGTTCGAACATTAATAAAAAAAAAACTCACTTTTCCTGAATATTTGCCACAAACAATGTTATGATGTGTCTTACCTGCAACCTCCAAGAATAGATTGATAATAAATATTTGTCTTTAAAAATATCTTACACAAAATAACAAATAAAAGCGATATTTTTTTTTCCCATTCTTAAACCTAAGCGAGAAAGGATAAGATTAGCTAATATGCTGAAATGTAATTGAATAACTTTTATTTGAGGGTCAGTTTCTTCGTACAGCAATAATGTTGTTGATAAAAATCTGTTAATAAATTTTAATATGACAGAAAGTAAGTTTGAGAAATATACAAACGAGTTTAGCTATGAAGTTTTCATCAAAACTCATTTTTGCAATTATGAGTACCTAAGTAAGGCAAAGCGCACAAGGGTCGGTACGTAAGATCCATCCCCTTTTTAACCGGCAGCACTTATGTGGAATAAATCTGAGGATCTCCTATACATCAAACTTTCAACAAAACTTTCAGTGCGACAGATTTAAAGCGCCCCCACTGCAGCAAAAATAATTGGCTTACCCGGGATTCGAAGCCGAGCCTAAAGTGGTAGGACAACACTATGTTTTTTTAGACTTAGGTCTAGACAGTCTCAGCTAACATCCATACCGTATTAAGCGGATGAAGAAGAGGGTGGTGCAATGTTTATTTACTTATTTATTCTTTCAGAAATCTAGTTTTGCATTTTATCTAGATTTTGAAGTGAAAGCCAGAAAGTGTCCTGAGGGCAGATAAATGGTGAAGAAAATATTTTGAACCTTGACTCCTAAAACTCTCCACATATATACATAAATATTTTATCGATGTATAACGTTTAAATGCGTATGACTGTAGGGTCATGCAAATAATAAACTTTCAAACTTTTTAAATTTCTACCCATTTCTTTTACACTATATCTAATAGTTACTGTATTTTTAAATTAAAATTCTTTATCGCAAACTTTTATGTCACATCTTTAATTTCTGCATTTAACTTTCACTCAGTGTTTTGTATGTATCTTAAAATAGGCAGAGCGGTAAAGTCGCTGAACCCTGGTAGTTTCGACCTGAGTTCTAATTCCAGGCGAACAGGCTGGCTGCATGGGCTTTCCTCATGGTTTTTCCCGAGCCCACCAGCGGCCGAGCGGTAAAGTCGCTGAACACTGGTAGTTCGGTCCGAGGCTCGAATCCTGCGAACGAGCTGGCTGCATGGGCGTTTTCGTGGTTTTCCCCATGTGTAACGTGTATACGAGCCAGTTTCCCTTAGTTTTCCTTTAGTCCTCCACGAAGGCATCCCTCCCCTTAGGCAGATAGCCCTAGTGTGCTTTGCCATAATTAAATACACACATGGTTTTTCCCGCGTGTAATGTGTATACAAGCGAGGCAGTTAGCCCTCGCTTGCTTTGCCATAGTTAAATAAACCAAACCAAAAAAAAAAAAAAAAAAAAAAAAAAAAAAAAAAAAAAAAAAAAAAAAAAAAAAAAAAACAAAAAAAAAAAAAAAAAAAAAAAAAAAAAAAAAACAAAAAAAAAAAAAAAAAAAAAAAAAAAAAAAAAAACAAAAAAAAAAAAAAAAAAAAAAAAAAAAAAAAAAAAAAAAAAAAAAAAATATATATCTTAATTCAAAACGGGC